TGGGAGTGATTTGATTTTCATTCTCATAATATACTTGTACTTTTTATTGTTTTTCATAGAAAGTAAAGACCAAAGTCCAGTCTACTAGGTCAGAGGATATTCTCCCAATAAAATGATGAGACCTCAAAGAGCATGAGGCAAACATGGAATGACATCCTGAAATATTAAGTGAAAACAGCTGCATAACATTATACATGCTGTAAAGAGTATGTTTAACATACATACATGCTTATGTATTCATGGAAAATATGTGAACACATGTCACAAATCTTATCAAAATGGTGGTTATTTCTGTAACATGGGATAATATGAAAAGGACAAGGTACTAAACTGTTAATATACATTTATAACTTTTAAAATCTAAATATCGAATTATTTTGATAGAAATGTTTTTTAAATGTGATGCAAATAAATCCAGTTTTAATATTCAGTGATGCAATTTTTCTTTATTATAAATGGAAGCAATCTCAGAGCCTGTTTATTAGCACTCTTATACTGTAAAAATAATTTCATGTGGCCATTTCTCCAGAGACCTATTTCATTCAGGTAACTGTCAGAGAATGCCTATTGAGAAACAACATTTCCCATCTTTCTCTCGCGTATAACATTAGCAGTGGCGTTTCAGAACGTCAATCATTAAGGTAACTAATTGATACTGGATTACATTAAGTTTGGAAGAGCACTAGTCTATGCTTCCAACACAGAGTATTAACAATCCTATATAATGAAAATCAAGAAATCTGAGTTTTAACAGGCGCTGAATCAAGGATGAGAAGAGTAAGTTCTTAGAGTGAAATCCAAATATCTCAGAAATAGGTTCCTCTAATACCAACTTCTCTGTATGTAAACATGGAGTGAATTTATTTCTCCAAGCTACTGTCTGCTTTACTCAGTCAGATTCCCTTTCCTACTGCAGAGGGGGTTCCCTGACTGTACTGCAGCCTGGCCCATAATTCTTTCTATAGAAATGTAGCCCAGAGAGCATTCCAGTCTCCGTGAAGCAGCTCTTCCCTTGCCCTAGAGCCGACTGACCTTGCTCTCTATGGGTCTCTCTCCACCCTCATGCTCCCCTCACACACACTCCCCTGCTTCCTGCTCCTCTGCCATCAGGACAGGTAGGAGTGTAGCACGAGTGCTTCTTTATGGGGCCACATACCCTTTCCCTACTTGGTCTTGAAGCTCCTTCAACCTCAACAGCTTGTGACAGAGGTGGCCAGTAGGGGTAACTTGGGTCCTGTCTCTTTTCTCATAGGCAACACAGTTTATCTAGCCATAGAATCACTGTAGCCTGGGGTATAAGTGACCCTACCAGTGTGGATACAATCCAAAGTATCTCCTGAGACAATGACAAGCCCTCTTAGATGAATGCATCTTCTCAATTACACCCAACTATAGGCAAAATGCCACATATTTTGATGCACATGTATTTCTCCTCACTGGAATGGTCCCCAGCATACCTGCAGCCCACAGTCACATCTCCTACCCTGATGAGCATGGACACTAACACACAGGGTCTACCTTCAGTCTTTTGGGGAAACATTACTCTCTTTCTACCCGATCACACTATCTTCCACTCTCTCCTAGATTCTTCCCAGGCTCCCTAGCTTTGGTGACAGGACCAGAAGCCCTAGTTTAGTTGCCCTTTGACATAGTTACTTTTCTTATTGCTAAGCAAGATACCCAACTCCCAGAGTTAAAAGAAGAAAGGTTTATTTTGGCTCACAGTTTGTAGAAGTTTCAGTTGATAGTTGGCTGGCTCCAAGGAAGAGGAGCATCAAAGAGGAGAAATAGTTCATGGTGTGCAGAAGGGAGGAAGGCAGCAAAGCAGCAAAGTTACAATAGCAGCCCTCTTTCTGTCCCTTATATTCTATCCAGGCTACATGTTCTCAGAGTGGGCAGCACTCATACCCACGGTGGGCTTTTCCATTATCCACACTCAGAACTATGTCAGACCAATCAGTGGACTAATTTAGTAAGCACATACCCTTTATCCCAACATCACACACTTTAGATCCAACCACTTCTGAAAAGCCCTGCCTATGACTACATGAGACTTTGTGGGAACAGCTAGATACAAGGCAAAACACTCTCCAACTGCAGATGAAAATGACAGACTGTTGTATTGTTTATATTATGATCAATTTCCTCAGCAAACTCCCATCCCTTATCAAGCCACAGAGGTATAAGAAGGGCACAGAGCATCTAGTTTTTCTTTGCAAGCACTACGCTGTCCCAGGAGGCAATTTCTTCCTGTCCAGATCCCAAAATCAAGTTTGAGTGCACACATATAATGGGCAGGGACTGCTGGCAGTTGCTAAAGTGAGTCCCATTCACAAACCCAATAGAAAATTGCTGTTTTCTCAGCTTAGAGTGTGGGCTAATGAGCATTTGTTGCTTTCAGCTAATGATTCATCCCCAGCTCCAGGAAGAAAACAAAACAGATCTCATTTGATATCTTTGCTCTTTCTGGGGGTTCAAAAGCCTTGCCTCTTCTCCTCTGTCTGGTCAGTACCATCCTCTCAGTGCCTCATTTCCTGTTCTAATTCTGCTCCTGATAGAGGTTTCTCTGGCACCCTGTCTTTCATGTTTTCATAGTTTTGCACAGCACCATAGAAGATCAAATAAAAGACTTAACTATTATAATAGGTACTTAGTTATTATAAATATGCATGTGGACAAGCTGTGTAGCCTCTGTACTAATTTTTGTGATCCTCCTTCCACCTAGATTTTCATTCTTCTAGATTTCATTGACCTAGATTTCCATTTGCTTCTTTGTACCACAATTCTCAATAATTATTCCTGGTGTGCTTTATGTCAATGATCTGATGATCTCAGAAGGTCAGCCCTAAAACCATTAATGTCCTAGTGCTCTGCTTAAACAAAAGACATGGAGACCCATGCCTTTAAGCTGTAATCTTGAGACTGCTTTCTCAGTAATTCATATAAGGAATGTGAATCTTTCTTAACATAGTATGGTAGAAGTTTAAAGGTTGTTAAATTGTATCATTCTTTTATTCTTGAGATATAGTTCAAGGGACTCTTTTGTGAAAATAATTGGAAATTGAGGCAATAATTTGGAAAGTAAATTTTCAGTCACTTAAGTATTTCAAACTTGCAAACTTAACTTTTCCCTGTTAGTTATTCCAAATTGTCACTTGAAAGTGTAAATACTCACGCTGCTTGGGTACGAGTGAGATGGGTTTTCCCCCAAGTTGCCCTAATAAAGGTCACAAGTACATCCACTCCCTACAAGGCCTCCTACTGTATTTGCAGAACCCCATCAATACTCCTTCAAATGTTCATAAATCCACATGACCTCCCTGGGTCCCTTCTAACTCCAAATCTGTGCATTTACAAGCATATCACAGAATTATTAAAAAGCTTTTGCACAACAAAAGAAATCACCAACAGAGTGAAAAGACAACCCACAGAGTGGGGAAAAATTATGGCCCCTCAGACAAAGGACTTATATCTAGAACATATAAAGAATTGAAAAAATCCAACCCTCCAAATTCAAAGACCCAATCCAAAATGGGCATCAGAGATCAATACACACTTCTCAGATGAAAAAATACAAATAGCAAATAAATGCATGAAAAATGTTCAACATCATCGGTCATCTGAGAAATGAAAATTAAAACAACACTGAGATTCCATCTCACCCCAGAAAGAATGGCTATCATCAAGAAATCAGCTGACAACAAATGCTGGAGGGGCTATGGGGAAAAAGGAACCCTTCTCCACTGTTGGTGGGAGTGTAGACTGGTGCAACTACTGTGGACATCAGTGTGGAGATTCCTTAAAAAACCAGGATTAGAAGTCCTATTCAACCCAGCTGTTCCCCTTCAGGGTATCTTCCCAGAAGAATTAAAACATTGCACCACAGTGATATATGTGCACCCATTTTATAGCAGCACCATTTATAATAGCTAAATCTGGGAAACACCCCAAATGTCCATCAACCAAGGAATGGATAAAAAAGATGTGGGTTTTTATTATGTAATAGAGCACTACTCAGCCATAAAGAAGGATAAACTGGAGACTTTCATAGGTAAATGGTTGTAACTCGCGATCATACTCATAAGTGAAAGAAATCAGACTCATATGTGGAAACATCATATTGTCTCACTAGTGTGAGAAACTAAATGAGTAAATAAGATCCAAACTATACAAGAGATATTGTGAATTGGGAAGAAACTGTTCAAAAGAAAAGCAAACTGTGATGTGTAAAAGGAGAAAAGCAGAAAGGGAAAAAGAAAAATATATTTATACACAAGATAATTAAGATAGTTAAGCAGCTAGTTTCTCTTAGTTCATTGCAAAGGAACAGTTGTGCTAATATTGTTTGGACAAGATATCATGCCTATATCTCGTACTCTGAATAACTGCTATGAAGACAACAATATGCAATGTGTTAATTATTGTAACTCTCCTACTAACCTGTTTTAAAACTATATTTTATTGTTATTTTTATTTTTTCTCATTAAAATAACAAAGATATAAGCAAACTGTGCCTACCAGAAGAGCACTGGACTGATTATTAGAAAGTAACTTTAAATCAATGCTAGATGAATATAATGAAAGTGCCTGATCAGTCCTCAAGGTCAAAATTGTGAAGACATCTCTCTCTCTCTCTCTCTCTCTCTCTCTCTCTCACACACACACACACACACACACACAATGAAAATTAAAAAAAAAAAACAGAAAAACAACATGGCATCTCTACAGGTTAGTGGTGTTTCGCTAATCATTTATTAATGAACGGTAGCATTTTAATTCTTTTTTTAAAGCTTTCTTCTCCCACTAAAATAAATAATGCACAAGGAGGAAACTGAAAATGAATTTTGCACATTAAAAATTAATTAACCCTATTCTTTTCTGTGCCCTCACTGTCTAAGCCTAAGTTTGCTACTTCAACATCAGAAATGAACATTATGTCTGGATCAATCAGTACGTAAGGACAGACACTTCATAATATAATCACCTCTTAAATTTCTTACCTAGCTCCAGGAGTCACAACAGACGAGGCTTATCCACCTGTCCCAAAATGCCAAAGAGATGGGCGTAGAAGGGTAGAAAGGGCAGCTTTCATTGGTGTGGCTATGCCTGGAAGAACAGATAAAAAGGTTCAAGATTTGTCGTCAAAGGATTGACAGGAACTTTGAAGTTTTATAGAAAAGTGGGGAAAAGGGCCGGGGATGTAGCTCAGCAGCATAAGTGCCTGCCTGGCAAGCCTGAGGTCATGAGTTCAATTCCCCGTATGAGAAAAACGACCAGAAAAGTGGGGAAAAGCAAGGGCTGAAAAATTGTATAACTGGGAGGTTTGTGTAGCTGGCAGAATAGATGACCTTGGTCAAGCCATGGTCTAGCTGATAGTTATTTCAGGACTAGTTCTGCAAGTCAGCACCAGAGAAGTCCTTTTGGGTTGATGGGGACAATCTTGTTCTCACAGCATGATTCCTCTTGCCTAGAACAGCCTCAGTTTTGTCATGGTAAGTGCTTGCAGGGGTCTGGAGTGGAGATATATTTGTGGGAGTGCAGTCTTACTATGAGGTGATCTGTGTAGGAAGTACTAATGGAATCTGAGATGACTGCAGGTTCAAGTCAGTGATTAGAAATAGCTAGGAATTGCTCCAGGGGATCTGGAAAAAGGACATTATAAAAGCTGGCAATTGAATGTGTCCTCAAATCTTGAAAATACCTTAGATACCTTTATATTGGTGCCCTCAGTCTTCAAGGGAGACAAGATAAATTGGGTTATTTCAGGTAATGAACTATGTATTACCAGGTTTTAAAACCTCCTTATGTGATAAATCTGCCTATGTGCAGAGTTAAGCAAGGATCTTACTCAAAGTTGTAAGGTAATAAAGCAATCAGATATAAAATGAAGACAGAGATGTCAAGCTTTATGCTGCTTTCAGTTACGCACGGGGCAACTGCAGGCCCAGTCTCTTTAGTCTCCATTATATCATCTCTTCATACTCACCATGAGGATTAAATTACAATGGTAGTTTCAGTGGGAACATTCAAATCATAGCATTCTCTAGGGAAACAAAAATTGGAGAGTTACAAAACACGAATTTTATACCTCTCAACATGGTCTTTTAATCCCTTTTCACATTTAAAAAAAAAACTTAAATATATATGAATAAATGCATGAATGAATGGCAGATTCAATGGTAGTTCCTCTAGGTCTGTAGTGGTGAACATACGGCACACATGTTATAGTGTATTTCTTTTAAGACAAAAGATGTTAATGTAGTGTCGTTTTTTGTAAAACCTCAGTATTTGGGTTTAATTGTAGTGTTGGCACTTTTCAATAAATAAGTGGGTTTTGGGTTGCAATTTGGCACTTGGTCTCTAAAAGGTTCGCCATCACTGCTCTAGATGGTGCTATCACATCTCTATTCTACTTTAGAAATTCATCAGTAGATCATTATCTAAACTGCAGGCAATGTCTCTCAGAGGGTGATCCGTACAATATTAACTCAGGAGAGTCTTTTGATCTGCCAATTCCTGGGCCCCATCTCAGAACTAAGAATCCAAAGTTTTGGTGGGCAAAGAATCTACATGATCACCGAGCAACCCAGTTGGTTTATATTTATGCAAATACCCCATCTTTCAGTTTGCCATCTTAATTACAAATACTATCTCAAAGATTTAGTAGACCTTGTAAAGCAAAACTAGGAACACTGAAACATTTTAAAGTACTGTATACATATTTTTTTTAAAATTCCACACACTAGATAGTAAATTCTGATGAGAAAAGTTAGTTTGATAATCAGGACTGGCTTTAGGGAAAATGTAAGTTTCCATTGTGAAGCCAAATTTTCCATTTATTTTCAGAAACTTCATTTCTCCTTTCTCAGCTTTCATGCAATTCCTTGTTCCACAACCCTTGGGTCTTTATCCCTTGTAAGCCATCTTACCTAGCATTAACCAATTAAAAAGAAAAAAAAAGCAATCACACATGCTGGTCAATATGCAAAACCTGCCAAATCTAGTTGGAAAGAATCCAGGCACTTAAATATTTTTCTTTATCCATCTATCTATTTATTCATTCAAAATACATGTTATTGAATGTCAAGAAAAGTAGAAAAATGAATATATAACCCATATTTTTAAGAAAAATTGTGCAGAAGTTAGAAGTTAAGAACTTGTAGCATATTCTGTCAAAGATAGATCATTGCTTCATAAGCCTATCCAAGCAATATTTCTTAGGAATATTCCTGTTTGTGTCATTTACTCTTAATTAAAACCTTAGATTCTGTGAGGTTACATGTTAACTTACAGATCTCAGGACACTAGTGGTTAGAAGCCAAGGATGCTAGTAAATATTGTACAACATAAAATTTTCTCTGCAATAAGTAATTCTCTGGTCCAAAAAGTCAATAGCACTGAGATTGAGAAACATTATTCCAAAAAAATCAATAGCTATTGATTTGGGAACTGAGAACTTTGCCCCCCATGGTTAGAGCACTCTTAGTGGTTTAGAATGAGTTACAATGGGGGCTGGGGATTTAGCTCAGCGGCAAAGCGCCTGCCTGGCAAGTGCAAGGTCGTGAGTTCGGTTCCCGGTACCGGAGAAAAACCAAAAAAAAAAAAAAAAGAATGAGTTACATTGGGTGGAAGATCAAGCACCCAATGATTGAGATAAGAAACTTCTCAAATTTTTGATAGAGAAGGATGTTAAATAAAGTAATAACACAAAAATGGAGGCAGGGTTAGAGAAAGTTTTTTTTAAAGTATAATTGGCCATATCGAAGTATTTTAAAGTATTTGAATCAACTGAAAATTTCATTTTTCATTTAATGTTCAATGTCTTTGAGCTATAATCTAAGCCACAATAGCAATGTATTATTTTATAGTTTATCTTTAAAAATAGAAAAAAATAATACTGCTATTTCTGCTCATAGCTCATAATTTCAAACACTTAGTAACGGAAAATAATGAAAGCACCTTGATGTCTAAAGCTGTATTCTCACAATGAAATATTTTACAAAAATCCTTTACACTACTGATTGCTCCTCTGCAAAGTCTGTTTCTGTATATAAGTACCCAAATTATTCAAGTTAATTTATTGTTTCATTTTTTAATAAAGAAGACATCCCTGGAGTTGTACTGTGACTGGCTGCGTACTATACCCAGAAGATTCCCCTTAGCTCCTTCTGATACTAAGAGAAATGTAAAGTCATTATTGTTAAATTGTCTTGGTTGCTTTCTGTTTTTTAAGGAGGTTTGTTTTTAAGGTAGGTTTGTTTTGCCTCCTGAGAAACTCAAAGAGCCCTATGTTGAATGAACAGTTGTTTTCTTGTTGGAAATCTAGCAGAGCCAGTGGCTGGTGGGAAGAATTCCTTTCTGCACTAGCTAGTAAGCAGATGCCATAGCTGGAGAGTAGGGCTTCTCTATTTTCTTTGGACATTGGATAGTTATGAGCTGCTGCTGGAACTGGGGGAACAAGTCCACTATTTTTTTTAGTTTGTAAATGGGACCAGTCAAGGCCATAACAGATAAGTGATTTCCTAACATCAGCAGTCTGTCAGACTTCAGCTAAAAGCCATACTGCATGTGTCATACAGATAAAAAAGAATTTTATAGGTTTATTTAATGTGGTATAATTTTCATAATAATATATGCCCCCTGTTCTAAGCAATCCAACATTAATTACGTTGAATCACAATATGTATGGAGTAACTTTCACTTTATTCTTTTTTTGTTGTTGTTCTTTGGTTTTGATTTTTTCCGGTACCAGGAATCAAACTCAGGACCTTGTGCTTGCCAGGCAGGTGCTGTGGCGCTGAGTGAAATCCCCAGCCCCAACTTTCACTTTATGAAACAGGCTTTCTTCTAAAATCATTCCAGTGGTGGGTTTCATTTTTCATTTTTTTCTCTAGATTCACTTCTCTGAATCAGAGTCCAAGTATGTGTCTTAATTATAATGTCAAGAATACAACTGAATAAAATGCAAATTTTTATAATGGTTGGTTAATGTGCTTCTATTTTAATATTTGAGATTTATACTACAGATTTATTTGTACACCAAGAGGCACTTTCTATAACTGAATTTCTTGAACAAGATCTGCTTCTGAGGAGAAAATCGGTTTTTTTGCATAATCTAGGGAAAGTGGTTCTAGAAAACTGCTAGACCTAATTTGTCCTAGTGGAATATTATGCAAAACTGTTTTACCAGACCAGCCAAAAATGAAATCTTTTGTTCTATTATAAAGAAAACTGCCCAATGGTTTTAACTTATTTTTGTTCACATGTATTTTACCAATATTTTGTTTGATGACTTTCTCTAAGATTTCTTGCAGCTCAGAACAAGTTTCTTCACCTTGCAAAGCCTCAGTCTCCTCACCAGTAGTGTTTACCTCACTGAATTGTTGAGAAGATAGAATGAGGTAATTCATATAAAGCAAAGGGCAGGAAAACTGGATAGAAGCCTCAATAAATGATTTTGCTATGGCTGCTCCTGCTGTTGTTTACTCTCCCTCCAGTTTACAGTTCTGATTTGGGATTCAGTTACCTCTGGTTTGCTCAGTTCCAATCCCTGCTTTTTATACATTTAGCCTAAGGACCTCACCAGCTATTCTCTTTCTCTCTCTCTCTGTCCATCTATTCCCCATTTTATCTCTCTCAATATCCTTCAATCCCTGTCAACAGGTAACAGATGTTCTTAATTTTTTTTTTCCAGTACCAGGAATCGAACTCAGGACCTTGCACCTGCCAGGCAGGTGCTGTGCCGCTGAGCTAAATCCTCAGCCCCAGATGTTCTTAATTTTAAAACAGTATCTTTATCTAGTGTACTTAGCACTAAACTGCTGTGTTTCCTTAGCTCCAGGTTAGATATAAAGGTCGATTTTGCTGTTTCAGATAGAAGCATTCAGTGGTGCCTATCTAGGTAACTCAGCCCTGAGTTTATAAATGAAGGAATTGAGGCTGTAAATTTAAAAATGTGTGATCATGGCATCTCCCCTGACAGGTAAGTATGTAAATTTAAAAATTCGGAGGGCAAAAAGAATAGCATCCTGGAATGTGAGTTGTATTTGACCATTAATAGTCCTTGACCTTTTAAGTAAATTCTGTATCAAATTTCTAACAACAAAAAATGTATATCATGTGAAGAAAACGGAGACAAAACTCTTGATCAACTTCTAACTAAGCAGTTCATTCTCCTTTGATGTTCTATTTGCTGAGTAATTTGACAGATGGTTAAGAATTTGGGAATAACTGAAGAAGGAATGCGAAAACAGGACGGTTCACTACGCAGTATATTTCAGCCCTATTACAGGGCTGAAACTAGTTTCGTCAATTGCTTTCTGGAAATAAAACCACTTAGATAAAACCCTAAAACAAAGCAAAACTACTGGCACATTACTACTATTGGAAGGACTATAAAAGTTTCTGCTTTTTCCTCAAGTATACGTATTACTTTCAAGGAAATGTTTTCCAATATTTACCTCAGTGGATTCCTGGAAAAGCTTACATTTAAGTATTTAAAGTTTTTTTAAAGTTCACTGAAGAGACTGGTTTCTTTTGTATTAAAATCTTGTAAAAAGTAAAAAATATTGTTAAAGGTGAAACCCACTGCTTCCTTGCGTGACTTATCTGTATTGTGTCCTGGCGAAAAAAGCAAATATTAGCTTTTATACCAAAACAGGAATGACAGCGGTTTTGTAGATGGGAATGTTTACTAGCTTTGAACCTGACAGGTGAAGTACTAGTCTCTTCTCTGCTTTCAGTAAAATGAGGGTGGTGAGGCTTATTTAATGCAGCTTGCTCAACACTCAGAAAAAAATCACTAGAGATGAAATCCCCAAATGTCCATCAGAAATAGCATATGGATTGTACAAATAGCCTCTGGCTCCTTACAGAACAGGGGTGTGTGTGTGTGTGTGTGTGTGTGTGTGTGTGTGTGTGTTCTAGTTGTTCAGTATATGGGTGGGGAATTTAGTAATTCAGACTAAATTCTATACAAACCTAAATTTAAAACAATCAGTAGCCATGTCCAGGGTGAGGGCAAGAGAGAAAGGACGGACCTGTGAACAGTTTTTCATTGCTTATTTGCTCCAGTTACTTATTATTATACAAACCACAGAAAGTGAAGTTGGGGAAGACTTGAATGCTAGTCATCTGAGAGGACAGCGATTTCTATCCAAAGGTAAGTAGGACTGGAGGGAAGCCAAGACACTGGGAGTATCTCTCACTGAAAGCGCACGAGAGCTTAAGTCAGGAAAACAGGGCTGTTGACACGATTAGCAACCGGTGCAAGCCGTGACGTGCGTCTGCGCTTGCCTGTCTCGCAGAGCGAAGTTCAAGGCGGTGGCTCCCGAGGAGTCCGCAAGAAAGGCTGCCTCGGGGAGAGGCGGAGGCGGGGAGCGGGCAGGGGCCCGGGAGGCGGCAGTGATGGGCCAGAGGACGCGCGAGGACAGGCGTGGTGGCCTCAAGCCCCGGCGCCGCGGTGCGGAAGGGACGCACTGAGGGCGGAGGCAGCTGAGCCTCACACTCGGCGCGGGCCGGGCGGCCGGGGGAGCGCAGCTCACTCCTCGGAGAAAAGCGCGCTCGCGCCGGGCCCGGCGGGCCCAGTCCCAGCGGGAGGAGGCG